AGGCCATCTGATCCCACTCCCTGCAATGAACAGGGGCACCTGATCAGGTGCTCAGAGCTCTGTCCAGACTGACCTCGGGTGTCTCCAGCAACAGAGCATGCTTCCCATGAAGGCATTCACTGTCCTTTAACCAACATGAGCCATGTTTCCCTTCTGCTGCACTGGGGACGGCCCACAGCTCCTCACTGACCTGCTGCACCACACTGCATTCTCCAAGGAGCAGCTGTGCCCCACCTTGACACCTGCATGGCTTTTTGCCCCTTCATATCATGGAAGTCCCATCATTGCTCCCATCACTGGCTGTTAATATCTTCTCATTTCCAGCCTGCAGCTCTTACTGACCTGCTTACACCGTCACCAGGGGTTGGCTTTGGATTCAGTGTTTTTGTTCCCCTGGCAACAGCAATCTCTGCCTGTGGTGCATCCGCTGGTGATGTTTCCAGCAGTGACACCCCATGTTCTGTCCCTCCCTCCCCCCGCTGCTCGTTTCCACTGGGGCTGGGTGCTCAGGATGACCTGAGATGAGTGATTTCCCCTTTGCTGCTGAAAGTACCTCATTTGTTTCATCTCAGAATTGCTCTTACTGCATCACATTGGTGGCTTGTGGTCATGCTGGGACCCACACTGCACTGATGTCCTTCGTATGGCTTCGCTCCTCTTGTGAGCAAAGAGCATTAAAAGCCTTTAGGCACTGTCCTTCAGTCCCTCTCCCAGGCTTCACCCATTTCTGTTTTCCAGCCTCTCAGCTCTTTTTGTGCACCAGAGTATGAGGTCTGGCTGCATTTCCTCCACCCAGCAAACCAGCCAATTGTCCAGCAGCCTCAAATCAGCAAACCTGCGCTACGGTTTTAAGCCTTTCCCATGATGCAGGTTTCCTTCCAAAGGAAGAGATGTGTGACCAACACTGAAGTACGGCCGTCCTCACTCTGCTTCCTACTGCATTGGAAGCAGGAAGGGTCTGAATCTGGGAAAGAGCATTTTTCATGACACTTCCTGCGTCATCAGCAGGGCTGAGTTCATGCGTCATCCCCATGAAAGCACAGGCAGAGGTGATGGGAACGGCGTCTGTGTTTCCTGTCCATCCCCACAGCCCCATCACACTGCTACCACCCAAGCAGCACCACAGCCTGGCCATGTCCTCCTGCAACGTTCTCACCGAGGTGGATGCTGTGTGCCTCAGTTTCCCCACCTTTAAAATGGTGTTCATAGAATCACAGAGTATCCCGAGTTGGAAGGGAGCCATAAGGATCGTTACAGCTTTTCCTGGTGGATTTGGAACAAAAGTGTGCTGGGGCAGAGGTGTAGAATCTCAGAAGCTGCAAGGAGCATGAGTGGAAAGGAAGGTCATTGCAACTGCCTACTTCTGCTTTGTTTCTTTTATCTTCTTTTTCTGTTTTCTGTTTGTTTTCTTTTTTCTTTTCTCTTTTTTCTCTCTTTTTTAAACATTCTCTTTCTTAGAACAATTTGACTTCTTGTTTCCCTCACCTTCAAAATGTGCTTTGTATGGGTTGCTGTGCCTTTATTTCTGTGCATTTGCAGTTATCCTGCACTGGTGCTGCATGTGTGGCAGCAGCCACATGCTGGGCAGGGGGTACATCCACCATGGGCAGCAAGAAAAGGCATTGGGTTTTCAGTAGAAACACTGGGAGCAGCTAAATACTATTATGAACCACCTATGCTGTACTTTCGGTCAGTAAGTCTCAAAGCATTTCATTAGAAGCAGCCAGACTAATAAAGAGTTCTGTTTGCTAATTAAAGGAGGAGGTGGAAGAGGAAGATGCTGGGGATGAATGACTTGCTATTATGAGCTGGATCATTTGGTTCTCGCAGCCACAGTGACTCATGGCACCTCGTCTCACCGGGTCTGACGCTCATGACTGCAGCAGATTGTGGGTCTGATAAGAGCTGCTCAGAAAAACCCTGACTTGTAGGAGGAAGAAAATCTGCCAGAAAGAATGCTTTTGTAGCAGCCTGCAAGCAGACTGCACAGTGCTGGTTCGTATGAGTGGATAGGAAAGTCCCCTTTCTGCATCAGCCTGTATTGGTGAGGGTCCTTCTAATGCTGATGCCCTCTGCCTCCTTAGGATGTTCTCTCTCTTGAGGCTTTTTCTCCTTGAGGTGACTTTGTAGGTCTTTTCTGCCTTGATGGGCATTGTGGTCCCTCAGATCCACGATCAGGACAGTGATGGTGACAAGAGCCCAGGTTTCTTCCAGCTCTCATGGCATCGTGCCGCTTTCAGCTGGGTGTCTACAAGCCAGTGATCAGCAGATCTCATCAGCTGCATTTTCAGGGACAGGAAACCACTTGGGGGCCAGCAAAGCAACTTTGCAGGAAGCTGACTGCTCATCGGAAGGGCAGAGAGATGGTGGGGAGAAGGGCTGGGCAGTCGGTACCTGCAGTGATGTGGGCTGTGTAGGACACAGGTTGCTGTCACACTGTGAGCAAGCCATTTTTCTCATCCTCCTGCAGCCAGTGGTTTATACAACAGCATCTTGTCCAGCTATCAGCCCATCGCCACCATGATGTCACACCACTCAGTGTGACATCTACCCTTCTGTGGGTATACCTCCAGGGACAATGACCCCACCACCTCCCTGGACAGCCCACTCACCACTTTTCCCAGGAAGAAATACTTGCTAATATCCAGCCTGATGAGGAGCTCCAGACACAAAGTGCAGGGAAGCAGTGGTGCTGCATCCCTCTGGGCTGGGTGTCTGCCTTTCTGGGAGCAGCACTGTAGTTAAACACAAGTTCTTGGGTTCTGGATGTAGCTAGCAAACTCAATGACTTGGCATTTGGTTCTTAGCTGTGGCCTGGATAGGAGAGTGATTTTTTGGTTCCATAAAATCTATGCCAGTGTCTGAGCCAGATGAAGGTGCAGAAAGGAGAGAGAAGGGTATGCTGAGCTCCCCAAGGGGAGCTGTGCACTGGGGTAAGCTGTTTACATACCTTCCTGCTTCAAATATTTACTGCAAGAACTCTGGATATTCTTGTTATTCGTTGCTGTACTTTTCCATCTCACTCCCCCCTTTCCGTGCCTTACGTGCATGTGGGTGCAACACCTCCCCTCCTGGCAGCTGTTTTCAATGAACATGGACTCTTATGGTCAGGATTTCTTGCTTCTTGGGACTCTTCTCCAGGTCTGTTGATTCACAAAACCTTCATTAACAGCACAAGTTAGATCCATGGTGATAGCATCATCCATCCTTAGGATACACAGAGGGACACAGCCACTAACGCACAGCGCCCAAACTCTTCTGCAGAACAGCTCTGAGCTTCCTCACATCTTTCCAAGTCCAACCCCTGGCACTGGGACACTCACTGCTCCAAATCAACCACACAATCGTTTTTTCTTCTAGCAGTTCACTTCTCATTGCCTCTGGTGGACCCCATCACAGACCCTCACTGTTCCCCACATGATGTAGTGCAGGGAGGCCGCCAACCTCCAGCACTGGGTCTACAGCTGAACCTCATGGGAGCTATGGAGGTGGGCAGGCTCTGAACATTACAAATGTGCTGCTTGATTCTTCCTAACATTGACCTTGAAACTTATTTTTCTTGCTTACAAAATTGATTTTTAGTTCGTCTTTCTTATTTTGCTTTTTTCCCCCCCATTTTACACTCTGAATAACGGTGAACCAGGGATCAATGATCCTTAATAACCCAATCTCAGCAGTGCAGCTCCAGCGAAGGGACTCATCGCCCATTTCTACCACAGCAGCTTTTTGCTTTGCAGATAAGTAAGGTGAAGTATTGACATCTGCATCTCTGCTTGCTTGGAACGGATTGCGGGTGTGATCTTGCACTTGACAAGAGAGGAAGAAAACCTCTTTCTTTTGAAAATCAATACTGGCGGTGTGGCTCAGCCAGCAATGGGCACCGTGGGACCAGCACAGACCTGGAACCATGGGAGCTGCAGGCTCAGCCCAGGCTGGGTCTTGTGCTCTCCTTTAGGAAGCCCAGAGCTGCTGTCTGTACAGACACTGCATCACACAACGAGACATTGATATTTCCGTGCATGGAGGTGCAAAATGTGCTGCTCTGCACTGTTGTGGTGTGTTGGTTTCTGCCATCACTGTTTGAGCGCAGTGAAAGAGCAGAGTGCTTTTTGTGAAGAGGAGGAGGAAAACCACTGCCCCTACCTTTAGAACTCAATACTTCTGTATTAAAGATGCATTCTCCAGACTAGCTAAGCAGTTTTCATGTTTTAAAATAATATATTAAAACCTCAAGCTATTAACTGTATGTAAAATCTAGGTCAGGAGTGCTTTCTGCTCAGCTTTATTATTATTATTTTTACTCTGCAGTTTTTGGAGTCTGGGTAATCAGTGCCATTGGTTTCGTGTTCTGGGTCACATGTGCTATTGGGAAGTCTGTGGTGTTTGCAGACTGGAAGTGGGAAGGCTGTACAATTGAAAGTACAGCAGAAGTGATGAAACACACTTTCTGCAGAAATGGACAGCAGCAGTACCGCTGTTTTGCATAATTTTTCTTTATGGTTCACCCGAAGTGGAGGGGACCTTAAAGACCACCCAGTTCCAACCTCTGCCGTGGGCCGGATGCACACAGCTCAGGCTGCTCAGCCCCCCCTCCATGTCTTCAGGCACCTCCAGGGATGGGGCAGCACAGCTGTGGACAGTGCCGGGGCCTCACCGCCTCTGTGTAAAGAATTTCCTCCTTAAATACGAGGAGAGGAGGTTTGCAAGAATGGAACCGAGTTGAGCTCACTGATCCTTGAGAGCATCAGCGGTGCAGCCCATTACTTCGGGTTGCTCGGGCACCCCAGGGGCGTCACATTGAGGGCGTTATCCCATCCGCAGCGAGAGTCTGAGGTTGGAGGGCACCTGGCCAGGACCCCGCTTACCGCTGCGCTCCGTACCCACAACCCGGCACGGCTCTGCTCGGGGCGCGGCGCGGTGACGGGCGCGGGCGGCAGCCAGTGTGCGGCGGGGGCGGGCGGGGCCGGGCCGGGCGGGGCCGGGGCGCTGCTGCGGGCCCGGAGCCGCGGGAGGCGGCGGCTGCCGCTCGCCCTCCGCCATTCATTCGGCCGCATCGGCGGCGGCAGCGCTCGGCGCCCGGCCTCGCTATGGCCGACCCGGCCGTCAACGCGCACCTGGAGGGCATCATCTCCGACTTCGAAGGTGGGTAGGGGGCTGCGGAGCTGTTCGGAGCGGTGAGGGGCTGAGGGATGGATGTTGAGGGGCTGTCGGTGACCCTAAAGGCGAAGATCCCCGAAGCCGCCCGCATCCGGCCCCCCCCCGCCCCAGCTGTGCGGGGCAGAGGTGGGTGAGGCGCTGCCCCGGCTCTTTTGTTTGGAGCGGACTCGCCCCGTCCCTATCTGTTAGCGCAGGATCGTACGGGACGCTTTTCTCTGCTGCTTTTTCCGAGTTGGTTTACGCACTTTTTCAGCCGAAAACGCGGCTGTGACGCAGCGAAAAGTTTGTGAAGGGCCAGGCGACGGCCCTTGTGTGGATTCTCAGATTTTGGATACGAGCACAGCCTCAAAGTAGCCGTGAAGTGGATAATGAACCCAAGTTTCAAAAATATCCCTAGCGGGAGCTGCCTTAGAAAGCTTTGCGTTTGTCGGGTAGCTGAGCTCCAACTGCCCGACGGCACTGCGCGGCTCGGTGCCGGGGGTCCCCTTGCAGCCCGTGCTTGGAGGGATGGATGGATGCCTTCCCCTGGGTGCCCGCTGGCTTTCCAGGGAAGGGAGGAGAACAGAAGCAAGTGGGAAGTGTGCTGCTGCCCATCCGTGGTTCCAGATAGGCTTTGGGGATGTCTCTGATGCAGCCATTGAGAGGGCGGTTCGGGGGAGCTCATCTCAAAAGCAGAGCTTTGGCAAAGCAGCAGCGTCCCCGCACTCAGCGTCCTGGCAGTGCCCCAAACTCAGCTCCGTGCAGCGGTTTTTAGAAGGGGGGAAAAAAAAAATAGAAGAGATCTCGGGGCTGTGATGAAAGCTTATCCAGCGGCCGTGTGTGCTGCTATAGGCTGAGAGAACTTCACCGCCTCCTGGTGAACTCGTTCTTGCGTTCTGCGAAGGAGCAAAGTATTGTTTTTCCTGCTGGGAAGCCGAAAGCCCCTCGGTTCCTCTTCCAGGTCGGGCAGGAAACGGGTGGCAGGGCTGGGGGCTCGGCGGGCTGTCCTGGGCTCTGCGGTGCCGTCACTCCGAGCTGCAGCCCCATCTGTGCCCCCTCTGTGCAGCCCCTGGGCTCCCGTCTGCAGCCGGAGCGGGGGTGGAGGGTGAGCAGGAGGCCGAGGGAAGCCACATCCTGCAGCAGGGCTGGGGCGAAGGGAATTGGGGCATGGAGCAGCCAAACACGCTGAGGGTTTGGGTTTGTGGCACTGGGCTCGCAGGTGAGTCTGTGAGTGTCCTTCGGGGGCGTGGGAGCTTCACCAGTGTTGGTGTGGTCACAGCCTTTTCCTTCGCCTGCCTCCATTGCATTTAAATCCCTGTGGAGTGAGAAACCCCAGGGAGCCCTGAGGCTGCTTGCTCTGGGCTGTACGTGTCCTTCAGTGGCACTGTGGTGCCCTTCCTCAGCCCCTGGGGCTGTGTGTTCCCTTCCCTATGGAGAGGCTACAAGAGCCTTGCCCTTCAGCGGGGATCCAGGCTGTGTTTCTCAATTTAATTAGTTCTCTGGGTTGCACAGCAGCTTCCCAAGAGCAGGGCAATTAGTTTTTGGCCTGTAGGGCTGTAGATGCAGTATTCATGTCTGCCGGGTGAGTTTCTTATCCTTGGCCAATCAGCCAAAAGTACCATGTGGCAGCAACACCAGATTGCTGGCAGCCAGAGCCCTCTGTGCTCCTGAACCACCTCGTCCTGAACACCTTGTCCTTGTCCCTGCCTGCTTTCCTCCCAGCATCTCCGCCCCACAGGTACCTGTGGCTACTAGATTACAGCAGGCAGTGGTATAAGGTCTTGGATGTGGGCTGGAGCTGTCACCCTCAGCTCTATGAAGGCTGTAGGGGCCCTTTTTGGAGTAGGAAAGGATAACAAACATTCAGCTGTAGTTCAGCTTCCAAATCAAAGCCGTGTGTGAATGGGGAACATAGCACAGCAGGCTGTATCCTGCACGTGATGGAGATGGCCATGTCCAGGCACCTACATGCCCACCAGGTTCCTCAGCACAGGCACTGAAGCCGTTTCTTTGACTGGCAAGAGTTTCTTTGCTTTATCTGGAGGAGAGCAGCACGAGGTCTTGCAGTTTGCCAGTGTTTGCAGAACGTCACCGTTGTGGGTTTATGGATTTTGGCAGATCTTCAGCAGCATTGCCAGTTCAATTCTGCCTGAGCCCTGTCCCTGTGAGCAGTGGGGATGGGGACCTGCAGCAGTCATTGTCTGGGCTGTAGCACACCATGTGTGGGTGTGTGAATGTTGTATGAAGCCCAGACCATCCTTATCCCACTTGGACTGAGCGATGCTGCGGTGTGGGTCTGTCTGGTTGCAGCCCTCCTGGTCTGGGAGAGGTGCACCCTGCTCATACCTTTTGGTTGGTGTGGTCCTCCTGCATCCCATGGTGTGCATACAGGGCTTGGTGTGTAGTTTCTGGGGAGGGAGAAGAGCCCATCCCTTGTGGAGAACAGCCCGTGGGGGGCTGAGGCTCCTTGTGCTGGAAATGGCTCACAGCAAGCAATGCTGAGTTCTTTGCCAGTGCTATCAGTTAACACCAAATCTGTTTCCTTGTAACGATGTTGAAACACAACATTTCCTAGCGGATACAATCTGCTAACAGCAGCTCTGTGGGGCTGTAAGTGCCAAAATCACAGGGTAGCACAGCGGGTTTGGAGGCAGCTTCCATGGCTGGAGCCTGGGTAGGATGCAGAGGCTGCAGCTCCGACAGCACCCAGCAGCCTGGTGGGGTGGCCCTGCTGCACAGCTGCTGCCCCACTGCTAATATTAGCAGCAGCAGAGGGACAGTCACAGCACTGTGTGGGTGATGTGCCCTGAGTGCAGTCCTATGTGGAACCCAGGGAGGGGATGGCTCGTGTTTCCCTGTGTGTCCCTCTGGTCTGTGGGTTTGCATGGTGAGCTCTGGCGGGGCTGTGTGATGAATGGTGTGCGAGGCTCAATGCCTGGAAAAGGAAATGCAGAAAGCCTTTTTAGATTGTATCTCGGATCATCGCAGCCCTAGGAGTGAAACGAAGCTCCTGGACTCCAATTGTTGCATTTCCTGGGCTGTCCCTAAAACCTCATGCTGTGGCCAATCCCATCTGACCCTCCTTTATCTCCATCTGCTCATGGCTGCGTTGTTCACAAATGTCCTTGCAGCTCTGGGATGTGGTGGGCTAAGCTTTGCTGAGAGTTTTCTCTCTTTTCTCTTCTTCTCATCCACATTTCTGAGCCCAGATCAGGCAGATGGAAGCTCCCTGCCAACCACCCCACTTCATGCAGAGGTTCAGAAATCACCACTGGAAGGCAGGAGCTGTGTTGTCTCCAGCACGAGTGCTCTTTCTTGTGCCAAGCGGAAAAATTGCCTCTGCCTGGAGCCAGCAGCAGGGATCTGCAGTTGTGGGTTGTTTTTTCCCCGTGTATATTTAGTTCCTTGGGAATACAGAGGCTAGGAGGGAGTGGGAAATGGGAAGCACAGGATGCAGATCTCTGTTCACGTGAGCTGGTCTGTAGGGACAGTCTTTGGCCCATGGTAGAACGTAGGGTCGCCCAGAGATCGGTGTTTACAGCTATCAGATGCAGGGAGGGCTGGGTTGTGTGTCCTTAAGGATGGGCAACCACTGCAGCACGGAGCAGAGTGTCCTTGGCTCTGCGTCATCTTCCAGTGTTGGTGTTACTGGCGAGCTCTCAGTGTGCATTTGAGAGCCATCTTGGACACAGTGTCACATTGTCCCTTCCCTTTGAAAGGTTCCCTTATGATCAGACCGTGGGTGAGTCTTTGCACCTGGACCAGGATACAGCTTTGGCTGTGCCAGCATTATGCTGGTGCCTGAGTTCCTCCAGGTCTTGGATCTCATTGCAGCATCCTCTTCCAAGTGCTTGCTGCATTTGAGAGACCATGCCTACATCTCTTGGCTAACAAATGCTCACTGCAGTGTGAGAGCACTGCTGCCTCCCTTGTCCTGCAGCCTCACTGTTGGGTGCTGCTTTCATTCCTGCTTTGTGGGGTGCTGCTCTGTGCCTTTTCCCAGGAGCCAGAACCCAGGCAGCTCCACGAATAGCCCGTGCTGGGACTTGTCAGAAATCCAAAGGCAATAATGGAAAGCCCATAATCACTCCAAATATTCATGTTTCTAACTCTGATATTTGATATTTAAGGCAATGTCTCTAGGCAGTACCATTGCAAGGCTTGTTTCCTTTCTTGACCTCCTTCCCTGTGCTGCAGTGAACTCTGCAGTGCATCTTCCTCACTGATACAGCGGGACAGGAAGACAGCAATGATGCCAAATTGGGGGTAAGCTTATTTGGAGGCTTTATTCATGGAGCACTGGCAGCTCTCACCCACTGCTGTAGCAGTGCCCCTGCTCCCTCCCCACACAAAGGCCATGGTTAGGAGCAGCCCTCGGGCAGCTAGGAGGCTTACTGCTGTCCTCAGCTTATTCCAAAAACTTGCCCCAGATTGATGAGAACTCTTGTCTCCTGGCACTGTGACTCAGGCTTTTACCGTGATTGCTTTGCAAGACTGCTGGCTGGAGTTCAGCCCTTGGGGCTCCTGGGGACATCCATCCAGGCTGGCTCTTGGCTCCTTGTGTGCCCCAAGGTGAGGCACCATGGGTGGCAACACTGCTTGACTCCTGCACCTGAGTTAGGTGACACATTGGGGACCATTGGTCTCCATGAGTGCTGCTGCTCCTTGGCTGGCTGCAGGCATTGGCCAGCACTTAGAGCCGGTCTGTGTTGAGATGTTCTCTTTGCATTGAATCATTAAGGCTGGAAAAGACCACTAAAATCACTATGTCCAACCCCAGCCAACCCCCACTGTGCCCACTGACTGTGTCCCCCAGTGCCACATCTCCACAGTTTTGGAACACCTCCAGGGATGGTGACCCCACCACCTCCATGGGCAGCTGTGCCAATGCATCACCACTCTTTCTGAGTGGAAATTTTTCCTATTATCCACACTGTGCAACCGTCCTCCCACTGTGGGAGGTGGCAGTTGTGTGACACATTGGGCACTGCCCACACGGACGACCC